GTGCCCCCGACGCACAACCTCAATATTACTCACTCTATTGTACCACTTTACTAACATGGGAGATAGAAGGCAAATACCTAAGGGTCAACGGTGACTGGCCTCCTCAAAGACGACATCTTGTTGTCGTGAAGAAGGAGGACGGAATGAACTGCTGAGGCGAAGTTGTTTTTCATTGTCATATCGAAAACTAGGAAGAGAAAAATAAGTTGGAAGGGAATTTTTCAAGGCGGGGAAAGGCCATGGTTGAAAATCTATGAAATTTAGAAGTGGTTAGGAGGATTATTACTCACTGTAATTACTCCCTCAGGTTACGAGTGGAACATCATAGGGCTTCACAAGCGCACATCTCCATTTTCTCCTAATCTTTATAGTTCTATTCATCTGACTCCATGATTGTCCATAGTGCGGCATGTGCTACTAACACGACTTATGAGTAGTATGTAAAAAGATGTTCGTTGGCATAAAAATAACAAATAGATGGGAGATAGATTTGATATCAGAGAGAGACAGCAAATGATACAGCGTTGCGGAGATACATGGGAGACTTGAAAGGAACACAAAGAAACACACACACACAATTTGAAGGCTACAAATAGCTCAACATGGAAGATCTATGCAAATGGTGCGTTGAAGATATATGATTATTGTTATTATTTATTATTATTATTGTTTCCTTTAATTCCTAGAGGAACATAGGGCTTCAGCCATGCGTCTCCATTGCGTTCGGTTCTCTGCTAGAGTCTTCACCTGGCTCCAAGTCTGCCCATACATTTTCATCTCCTCTTCAGATGACCTCCTCCAAGTCACCCTTGCACTGATGACAAACTCGCCGCTTCCCTTTCGGGTTCCACTCGAGCGATGTCTTGTCTAGTGATGTCACTTGATGGTTTGTGTTCTCAGAGTATGGCCAATCCACCTAACTCCATTTCTTCACGCTTATTTGTTGCACAGTCTGTTCCTTCTGGGTTGGTTTCCTCCCAGAGATTCCTGCTGCTGATCTTCTCTGGCCGGCCATCTGATCTTGAGTACTTAGTGAAGAGAGCTGTTGATGAAGATTTGTGGTTTGTTGGAAGTGCCTTTAGTCAAGCGGTGCCAAGTCCCTGATCCGTATAGTAGCACTGACTGACTTCACATTGGAGTTGAAAATCCGAATCTTATTTCCATTTTCATGCTGAATGCTGTTGATCTCCACACAGACTTGAGAGTAGTGAAAGCTTGTCTTGCTTTCCCGATCATCGCCGCTTTGATATCCTCGTTAGTTCCGCCTGTAGTTGAAACGATGATTCCCAGGTAGGTAAAAGAGTTTGTTTCTTTCAGGTTCCTTCCATTTATGCTGATTGTTGTCTGTTGCTTTTGTTGTTGCTGTTGGTGGTGTTGCCCAGGAATCTTCATGAGCACATCTGTTTTCTCTATGTTCACCTGAAGTCCTTCCTATCTTTGATGCTTTCTCTGCCAACTTGTTGATTTTCACTTGCATATCTTCCAGTTTGTGGGAAATCAGACATATATCATCATCAGCGAAGTCCAGATCCTTCAAGCTTTTTGTGTGGGTCCATTTTATGCCTGTTTCCTCGCTGCCCGGCCCGCATCATCCATCTCCGTTTTCTTAGCAGTATTTTTTGAGCAAAAGGCTCTTGATTGGTTCGTTCCCAGAGTTTCTTGTTGTTAACCTTTTCAGGCTAGGCATCTGATCTTCAGTATATAGCCAGGGAAGATAGCAGCTATTGGTAAAGGTCTGAAGTGGCTTGTTCGTAATACTTTTCGTAGCGTGCCAATTAAGTTTGTGAATCATTTAGAAGAAGTGACTGGCTTCATATTGATGCCGAAAATGTGAATTTTATTGTCTATGCTAACTATGTGCCAAATGATTTTGGAGTGATGAAGGTGTACCTTGTATTCCGACTCATGTTGTAATATCTTCATCCGCGCTGTCTGTCAGCAGTTGAAATGATGTTGCCTAGATAGGTGAAGAAGTTAGCCTCTTTCATATCTGTTCTGTTAATGGGGATTGGTGATTGTTGCTGTTGGTTGGTTGGTGGTCTTCATCAGCTCCATCTTCTCTATGTCCAATCAGAAATATCCGATACATTCCGACAGGAGGTCTATCGCGAGTCTGAATAGCTCAGTGGTAACGTCTCTGACATTGGCACTCACTGAGTAACGTGAGTTCGATTCTCAGAAGGGACGTGAGTCCCTTCAAGGTTACAGACTCGCCTAGCTGACTGGCGAGTGGCAACTAGCACGAAACATAGGTCCAAGGGTTTCTATGGGGTCAATTGCCTCCAACCATCTAATACCAACAATTCACAGTGCACCGTGATGGTGAGCTACCTAGAATGGTGGCCACATTGCAAGCCTAACTGACTGATAGAATTCAGTCTGCACCGAAGATAGGACTAGACACACCACACTAGTTACTGACTAGTGTCCAATCAAAAGGAACTATGTCATATTACAAAGGGTATTAAAAGTTTTCAGTAGGGTAAGTTTTGTGCCACTTATTCAGCTGGTTACTATAATAGTCGACGGACACATGAACTCATGTGGGAAATGGTCCATATCCAAACTGTCACACTCTCAACACTGTCTCTATTCAAAACTCTCTCCGCCTTGCATTTCATCAAATAGGAGAGATAGAAGTCACTATGAAAGACTATATGCTCGCTAGCACAACTAATGGCAAAAATTCAGCAACATCCTGCTCAGCCCGCCTACCCACGTTCAATGTAGTACAAATAGTGCTGAGTGCGAAACTTAAAACTTTCTATGTAATTTACAAAATATGTGACTTAGATATGATGGAGAAGATTTGTAGCTCATGTGGATGATTTTGATTTGGTTGTGTTCTCTGAGCTGGATAGTTAATTTGCCAAAATTTCATTGCCCTACTAGGCAACATCTTCGGCGCATACTTCAATTTGAAGTGAGCTTTTAGATTTCTCCACGGGTTTATTAGATATCTCTCCTTTTGGGTGAACTTGAACGTGACTGGTTGTTTTTGTGTGTTTTCACACCCTCGAGGCTACTCATGGTATTGGAACTGATTGTTTCCTTGACTTGAACGTTGACCCTTTGTGTGTGAGGTTTCCTTCTTATCGGTTGGTAAATTTTGTCTATGTCGGTAGATGTGTCTATTGATTGACGACTCACTGGAATACCAGGCTTCTAAAAATTCTCTAGCATTCATGATGTTTCCTCTTCGTAATATTTGAACGTTGATTGTCCCAGTCGAACTGATGTCCATGGTTGTCTGTATGTAGTGATATGAGGAAGTGCATGTCATGTATTTTGACGGCTGGCTTATGATCAGGGATACGAAGATGAAGGGGACGTCGTCCACTTTGGCCAATGTAGTATTTTTCGCAGCTGTTATAATTTATTTTGTTGATGATGTTGGTTTTATCTTCTTTCATCGTTGGGTCTTTTGGTTGACACAGAGCCAGCTGAGTGAAGTGAGTTTGTCGGTTTGTGTACGACGTCAATTCTTAAAGGTTTGAAGAGTCTTGCAGTGATTTCTGAAGTGTCCTTTATATATGGTAGGTCGATTTTCTTTGTGCTTTCCTTGGGGGCCAATCACGTTCAAGTTTACCCACCAGGAGAAATGACTAATAAACCCGTGGAGAAATCTAAAAGCTCCCTTCAGATTGAAATATGCGCTGAAGATGTTGCCTAACAGGGCGGGCAACGAAAGCTTCGCAAATTAACTATCCAGCTCAGAGAACACAATCACACCAAAATAAGTGACTCTCTCCTATTTGTAATTTAAGATGATACTTTTAAATATCGTATCATTTTTTTATTAACGTTATCATCATTATCACCTAATGCTTTTCCTTGTTTTTGAGTAAATTAGATTCGACAATAATGTACCAAATACTCAGAATTCCAGGCTCTACCCTTCCATAAACCCAAACCGTATGAGGGAAACAATAAAGACTCTAGCAATAAATGCGTAATATAGATTTGTATATGTATATATCTTGTAATATAGAAATCAACTGACTAATACCTTGATAAATATGCATATAAGTTATAAACATTAAAAATTAAAAACGTCAAATGCAGGCGGAAGTAGGAGAGTGGCAGGGGGTTGGGCTGGTCGAAGGCAAAATCAACATTTATAAGCAAAAGACAGAAGGGAAGGTTGAAAAAGAAGAAGAAAGAAGTCCTCAGCTTCTCCGGATATTAGCAATGCATATCAGCAATCAATCAATCAATATTCCCTAGAAGAAAATGCAAGTTTTAATTGATGCAACTCCATTTTTTGAGTGTTTATTCATTATGTTACTTATTAGCAGTAATAAGTAGTAACATTAAATATACACAAATTATTCGCCTATATATGATCAATTAATGAGTGTTTTCATAGATTATAGATGAAATCTAAAACTGTACACAATATCTATATAGATATAGATATATATGCTTATATATGTATATACATGGAAGAGTCTTCTGAAAGCGTAGGAATACATTATTTTTTGTTTAAAAGAGTATTTTTACAGGGGTTTTCAGTGGATTAAATCTTCGAAAAAAAATGAAAAATGTGTTTCTACTCAATATAGGTGTGTATAAAGGAAGAATCGATATAGAGGGTATAAAGTATCGTTATTTGAAAAGCGAAGATGGGCGGGGGTTGCTGTTAGAAAGAAAGAAGTCAGAGAATGACCCATTCTAGTTGTAGAAATTATTGCACCATAGTTTTTATTCATAAAAATAATGATAATAATAAAATAATAATACTATTTGGTTATAATACCAAGATAAGACCTCAAATTTGATGGGATAAATGCAAGAGAACTTATCGATTCAAAATACTGAGTTGTTTTTTTTGTTATGTGCTAGTGAGTGTTATTCAAGGGGGGGGAAAAGGCGATCAAAGGATTTTATTGCATTTGTAGACGATATTTGTTATCACACTTTGAATCTTGATTCATCCCTCTTTGTGTGTGTTTGTGTGTATGTGTGTACTTAATGGCTGACTATATTTCAAGGCACAACTAATTGTCCTGATTGGATTCCTCCTTCGATGACATTATATCCTTCTCCTCCATCTTCTTCTCGCCTTCATCTTCTGCGTGTAGATGTTGTTCATCTGAAATTGTAGGAGAATTACTGACATCTGATTTCTCAATCTTTTGAGTAATTTTCACAGCTGTACTTTCATCTGTGTCGACTTCCTCCATCTCTTCGTCGGGCTGATGTTCATCGTGATTATCTTGCGATATTTTATTATCTAAAGGTTTTTCTGCATAAATGTTTGACGTATTATCATTATTATTATTATTACTATTGATGTTATAAGTTGAATTTTCATCTTTATTGGAAGATACTGAGTCGCCATCATATCCAGTTAATGGGCTTAATGATGGACTCAAGTGTGGTATGGATGAAAATGTGTTATCTGAAATTTCAAAAACAAAAAAAAACACAAAAATGATAAAATTGAACATTTAATTATTTATTTATGGTATTTGATAACGGTATATTTATTATTCGGGTTCACAGCGGGTATCCGGGGAATGTAGGATGTATACTTCGTCCTATTTGGACCTCGTCATCTGGATGTACCTGTTTCTTTATTAAATGATGTTTTAACTGATACTCCAACCTAACATCTATCCTTCCAAATGTCAGAACGCTATCCACGAGAGTATGACAACCACTACTTGTGCAGTGCTTACTAGTTGTTATCTCTATATCTGGTTGATTGATTATGATGGAGCTAACTCTTCAGTCCCTGTCAACATGTCGTATTCTAGTGTGAACGCTTCGTTGTTGCCTGAAGATTAACGTGACGTTGTTTAATGAATGATGATGAGCAGTGGAGACCAGGGTATGTGCATTTTGTCGGATTTTGAAACCGTCAGCTGGATTTAACTGCATTCTCCAGTGAGTAAGTCATGATGTCTCTCCACTGCAACTCGAACCCACCAAAGACGTTTTCAAATAACAGAAAGTTATCCGTTAGACCAGACAATATTATCACTGTTAATTTTCAGACGTATTCTTGAAGCATTCATCCTAGAAGTCAACATGTCATCCAAAACGGTTTAGTCTAGTGAATAGTCCTTTTATGCTTAAAAGCATAGGTTCAGGGTTCGAATCTCTGTGAGGATTGTGGAGGTATATTTACCCTGACTGACAAGTTTTAAAAAAACAGGACCGAATCTGAGTGCCCTGAATTCCAGTGATAATCACTGTCTACCACTAAATAACTTATATATGTCAGTTTTCAGACATCGTAGAAGTGGACATGTCAAAAGAGGCTGAATATTAGGGTTCAATGTGATCAACACAAAAATTGACTTCAAAATGAATACAATTGTATAACGTGTAGTAATCAAAATATGTTTTTAGTCCAGGTATACTACTAACTAATTTATCAGTAGATCAAATTTCTTCACTTAAAAATGAATGCAGTGTTAAGCTGTTTTCAATTTTCGATAGAATGATCCGAAGTTAAATTATTCGTCGTTTTTCTACTCGGGTTCAACTCGAAACATAGCCTGATGTGAGATACCACCCAGCTGTTTCCTCAGAGTTTGTCCAATCCATCTCTATTCTCATTTCCGCAATATTCGCTAACCAACAGGTTATTGATTGACTCGTTATTTAGATATGATGGAGAGATAACTAGGAGAGACGACTAGTAAACTCATGGAGAAATCTAAAAGCTCACTTCAAAATGAAGTGTGTGCTGAAGATTGTATCTAGTAGGACAGTTAAGCTCCTCAAATAAACCATCCAGCTCAGAGAACACAACTATATCAAAACGATCGACTCATCCTCAGAGTTTTTTTTATAATTCTGCCATCTGATCTTCAGTATGGAGACAGCGAAGGTGGCAGCTGTTTGATAAAAGTCTTCAATGGCCTGTTAGAGGTGCTTTTCATGAGGCTCATATCAAATTTCTGACCCATATAGAGGAAGTGACTGACTGACTTAACATTGGAGTTGAAAATCCGAATTTTCAAGAATTGGTTTGTAGGGATTTGGTTGATTGGTTACAGGATTTCATCATGAGCTGACATCAGATAGAGAACCATTGGAAAACCTGGGAGTACAGGATAGCTGTTTCGTCTTAGTTTGGGACTCTTAATCAGCACGCACCCACCGGGGTTCTAGCGGGAAGTCGCGACCAGTAGGGTGCAGCAGGTCGGGTGTGAGGACAAATACTCGCCGAAGACATTGACTAACGGTTGCGCTATATTGTGAATTGGCAGAAGTTAGAATTCATGGGCTGGCCATTGGATCGGGTCCCAGTGGCTTAATGGTCTACGAGCTAGCTCGCCTTGTAACCAGAAGATCCTGGGTTCAAACTTTGCCAGTGGGTGCGGCGTACTGATGAAGAGTCCCAAACTAAGACGAAGCAGCTCTCCAGTAGTCCCAGGTTTTCCAATGGTTCTCTAACTGATGTCAGCTCATGATGAAATCCTGTAACCAATCCGAATTTTGTTGTTTATGTTGACTGTATACAGGAGATTTCCTAACTGAATTCAGAGTGTAAATTAATGACTGATAACTGTCTTTCCAATTAACATAATTTTCTATTTAGTTAATGCAGTCTCCAATAGAGCAACGTACCGGTAGTCCGAAGGATGGCTAGTTTGATCATGCATCTTGTCAATGATTCACATAATATCTGGGCATACAGTATGATGACTGAAGTAAAATACTAGCCTGTTCACGAGCTGACAGACTGCGGGGCATAAAAATATTGGGGAAGTGTTGACTACAGTCATAATATCTATCAAAGAACTCCTCTTAGCTAGCTCATGCATATTTCTGCTTATTTCAAACATTTGGGTAAGGGGAAATAAAAGAATAGACAACACTAAGGAATGATCGAATTTTGTCACAAATTACTCAAAACTAGAAAATTCAAGTCATTAGTATTCAACTCTCCCCCCGCCCACCAACCTGAGTACATGATTATATAATATACTATCGCTTAAGATTCTTAAATATCTTAAATTTCGACCTCAAACTGCTTCGGTATAATTGCTTTGTTCTATAGAATTTACTTTTACAGTTAAAAGGAACTCCAATCAGTTTATTTCGATCGTATTGTCATCCACGAATAGTTATTGGTCACCGGCGTCATTGCCTGTGCTCAACAGTTTAAAGGTTTCCTTTAAGTGTGATTAAGCAGTAATACTGCCCACTATCACTGATGATATTCCTAATTATGGTGGACCGGATTTCGCTGAAGACCGTGAGTAGACAGTGTAGACAGTGTACTGCTTCCTATCAGAAAAGTAAGAATACAACCACTTATTTATCCAGCTCTCACTCTGTGTTGAAGCAAGAAAGTTGTGTGAGTAGTGCCTTGATATGATTACGAGCGGCAATAAACTGTGCTCGAAGAGTGGTCATCAGTTAATATTATTACTGTATAACACTGTGTGACTTTATCAAAGTAAAAATCTTATCTATGATGGAGTTATACTCTAACACCACAGTGCCCAAGTTTTATCCTTATATATCAAGCAGACATAATGTTATTGGAAAACGATTCATTGAAAATACCAGTGAGAGGATAACATAAAAGAGAGACTATTAGCTAACACGCAAACGCACACACACACACACATGCACACAATAAAACAAACAACATGAAAACATTGAAACATTGAATGTAATACACACATACACACACACACAACCATATTCCCGCCATATTTGAAAGCTTTCCGATACAAACAAATATTTCGTTTGCGTTCACCTTTTAACCTACAAGGTAGTTCTTGTTTTAAACATAAAAAAAAACTTCTAGTCACTGTCGTCAGTATCATGTTACGACTGTCACTAATATCAACACTACTAGTACTAATAATAATAACAATAATAACAGCAGTGATAATAATAATAATAACAATTGTAATAAAAGTGAATATTGTAGGCAGTTAACATATAATGTTTTCAAACAATAATCATAAAATTGTATTCCCTCTCGTTTCTGTCCCTTTCTGTTTGTGTGTGTGCTTGTAGTCCCATTCTATCAACATCCTTTTTTTTTACAAAAAGACAACTTGAATATTCGAACAACAAAAGTAGAGGAGAGACGATTAGTAGGTTTCTACTGAAATTACCTACAACATTATAATAACAGTGTAAAGCAAATGAAGCCTTGCTTTATACTTTGCTTGTAAAGCTTTTTTTGTGATGTTTATGTTCAAGTGTGTTTGTATGTGTGTGAGAGGAATCTTGTTTCAACCTTTGAATCTCCCTTCACATCTCCCACCAGCATCTCTATGTCTCTGTCTTCTTTTCGCTTGTTCATAGAATTAAACACTTTTACTCTTCTTTTTTTTACCTGACTGTGTAAAAATTAAAAACGGAAATTTAATAAACCGATTAGACAATTGACACTTTAACAACTTTTGTTTAAACGTATTTCTTTCTCTTTCTCTCTCTCTCTCTCAGACGTGCGCGCGCGCGCCTTTCAAACTTTTTCTTTTTCTTGTAGTTACTGTTATCATTATTATTGTTATTATTAATATTGTTTTGACTTCAGGTTTAAATGTTAATGATAGAAAGAAAAGGAATTTATTAAAAATGAACATATATAATACCTACATATATGTGTGCATATACTACTCACAGGACTACTGATATGTTACATGTTTAATGGCGGCAGTAAAAAAATAACTAACTGACTAACTAAATAACATCGGTGGTAAGTCAGTTAGGCTTATAAAGGCACACAGAAGAAAAAACGGTTGGATAGACTATAGATACATGCATGTGTGGACGCCTTTACCAACCAGCCGTCCAGCCCTCACACACATATATGTATATATATATGACATTAAAAATAAAAACAGAACAGAGATAGCTTGTTTCTCAATTGTGAACTATTGTTTGTTACAACAATCATTGTAATCCTTCTTCATCATGACTATCAGCTTGACCACCACCGTCATTTGGGGAGAGACAGTGGGGAGGGAGGGGGGAGAGAGAGAGAAACAGAGTTGACCGTGAACAGCAGGATAGGACAGCTCATCACCATCATTCACGTGCCCACCCATGTTCATTTTTTGTATTCTTTATTTTTCCACGTCACCCCCTCCACAAACACACACACGCACACCTCAACTACTCCATACACTACCTATTGGTTTCTTTTGTTATAAAACATTGTTTTACTTAATAGTAATAATAATAATATATTATAATAATAATTGTAGTTGTAGTTGCAGTTGTATTGTATTTGACCTGTTTTTTCATAGCTTTTCATCCTAAGATATCCTTGTGTGTGTGTATGTGTGTTGTATTGGCGTGTTAACAACAGAAATGGCAGACAACGACGTAGTCGTCAGGTGAGGGGAGAGAGAGGGTATGTGGTGGTCATGGTTGTGTTTTTGTAGTGGCATTTGTGCTAGCTTACACACATACACT